TTGTGCATGTTACCTTGATCCCGACTAGTCGCATTGCTGTTGGTATCGTGACGGGTGATGTACCTAATTTAAGGAAAACGTTTATATTGGATGATGTGATGATTAGATGACGGCAGTGTGAGTGAGGCAACGTGTCGTTGTTATATTACTTTGTATGATACTAGTGTTTCTGTATGGTACTTATTCACACCTATGTTGTTGACCATAGTGTTGGTTTTTACTCTCTCACGTAATAAATACGTAACGGATCTGAATGAAATCTAGTATAGATTATAGTCTGGAATATACATAGGCTTTACTTTGCCTTGGTTCGCCCGGGTCGCTACCGGAAACTAGTATAAAATAATAGGGATCATGAAAACTTGTCAAATTCATTACTTTTTCCAAAATGTCAAAAACCATGTTTCTAAATATTTTTAATGTTAGGGTATACATGGATCTGACGGCATTACTTTTCCGCATCAATAACACAAAATACTTGTTTCGTTTAAATTAATAATAAACTGATTTAACAATTAAATAGAACAATGAGAGTATCGTAATTTTTAGATACTCTATAAAAAAATGCCAAAAATAAAGACGAATTATTTGTTCAGGAAGGCAACACTATAGCTGCTCCAATAAGTGTGTCCGACAGTGTCTCTTGTAGTAGGTATACTGGCTTCTGCCTGCTGCTCCACGCGCGTTACTGAAACAAAAAGGACCTTATGTGTATTTCTAAGTAATACAACTCTGTTCCAGATTTAATTAGATCTATTCAGTAGTTTCACGAACGTTTGTTAGTAAGTGTAAGTTGGGATTTAAGTTTGTTTCTTTTTAACCGACTTCCAAAAAGGAGGATGGTTCTCAATTCGTTTTTTTTATGTTTGTTCACCGATATCTCCGTTATTTATGAACCGAATTTGATAGTTCTTTTCTTGTTGGAAAGGAGATAGTCTCAGAATGGTCCAATGATAAGCAAATCAGGATCTGATGATGGAAGACCAGAGAAATCGAGGGAAACTTTCAAAAATTGTAGGGGCGAGTGGTGTTTTTGCATGTGGTTTTAGTAGGCTTTCGACAGCGCTACTACTTCTTTCATTAATATACGTATCGTGTTTGTATGTTTCATATGTTGTATGCATAAATAAATAAATAAATAAACATTTATCCAAAGTTACAAACTATAGATTTTTTCTTTTTTTTAAACACGTTGTCCCACACCAATATTATGTCCCGTGTCTTGGGTGCATTTACAAACATACAATTCCACATACATATCACACCCAGACCTGAAAAAACAATTTGTGGATCACACAAAGAGATGTTCCGTGCCGTCATTGAACCCGCGACACGTTGTGCGGCAGCCAATTGGCCAACTACCGCGCCAACCATGCAGTCATTTATTTAATATAAGTAGGATTGCAGTGAGTACTATGTCGAGTCGAGTGTAGGCAAACAATAGCTGAGAGACAGCTTCTAGATAACAGCAGGAGTACGGAGCGGGCAGCGGCGGGATGCTGCGGTAAATCACGTGGCGGCGCGAGAGGCGGGCGGCGTGCGCGCGCGCATCGCGATACCGCCCGCCTGACCCACAGCCCGCGGCGAGGCCGCTCCGCCTGTGTAGGGCTGCTACCTGCGCGACGGCAGGCAGGCTCCGGCGGACAGTTCCGTCAATATAATTATTGGGTAGTGTGGTCGCAGCAGATCACCTATCTCCAGATACACATCGCGCGATATGTTCCGCTATCAGATGGTGGCGCCGCTCCTCGCCCGGCCGTTGTGCCTTGCAGCGTATCACGGCGCTATCGGCCGATCTCCCTGATACAACGCTAATTACCTATGTAAATGTTTGTTAATGAGATCATCGATCACTGACGTATGTCGAGTGCGCAGGCGCGCCGCGCTCCGGCCTGAGCTGTGGCGTTGCTTCACTTTATTCGATGCTCGCTTGTTTTATTGCACTTTTTGAAGTATTGGTAATGAACGGCGTGGGGCCGCGAGGATGCCCGCGAGCCTCAATAAATAAATTTAACTAGATTATCAGCGGCCGACCGACCGCCTGCGCCGGCGCAACACCGTAACTTGCTGCCTGTCCGTTCCGAGAATAATGAAATTAAATGAACGTCGTACTGGTTCGCGTAGTAGTTTTCATTATACATCATCTTCTAAACACGAGTATCCGCATCAAACTCTGCCTACACACTAGTATCAGGGAACCATCTCAGGACAAGCAGCTCGGTGATTCAGGCTGGAGATCAACCGACATGGCGTACAGTACCTATCGTGTAACTAAAACGTGGCATAGGCTCGCTGCAGTATGCCCGTCAAGCAACTTTCAGGTGACTGCTACTCTCGTGTTCCGTCCACCTCACCTGTACATAATATTCGAGTACAAATCTCATAGTTTATGGGAGCACAGAGCACAGGCAATTACAATACTCCGCGCGTCCACTGCGCCCGCGCAGCCGCGTGAGAAGATACTCTTTAACTGCGCCGACTCATGCTAGACAACATTGCATCAAGAGCACGCGAAGTTAAACTTTACACTGTTGTAATAACGCTCATATTGCTAGTAAAGGAAATGTGGCGTGTAACAATGCTAAATTGATCAAAGTTTACACAAATATTATTTATAAAAAGCCGCTCACGATGTAGCAGCACTGGCCGGCAGTACGCGCATGTCCTTTAACGCACACAAACTGCTTTATCAACGTGAACTTATTGCTCAGACACGTCGGTGACAATGTCACGAGTCTCCGTCGTGTAAATAGCTGCGAGCCTGCTGGTGCACTAACGTGCTTACAGAATTGGCACAAAGAAGAGAAGCAAGAAGAGGGAATATTGTCGGGTGCCGGGGCGGCGGCCAGTAAGGAGGTCATTATATAGGCGCGTCACAATCGATCCATATACTTCTTATATCAAATACTCGGTCTGATATAATCGGTGGCACTTTATCTTCGACGAAATCTCACGTTTCAATGAATGTGAATGCTTAATTTATTCAACACAGAAACGTTTCCGACGAAGCCATTGATGTTACGGCAGAGCAGCGCGCGCAAAAACTGGCCGCGCACCGGCTTAAATCACTCGGAGGCAAATGACAAGCCGGCGATTACGGCAATTAAAACGCCGCCGATTGGCTGCTACGTGGCGCGGGGCAAGCAAAAACTTGCGCGCGCGCATCCCAGCCGCATATGAATACGCAGACAATTGATCTCAAATTTGCAGGTTCTTGAAAAAGTTGGCGTAACGATGCATAGAGGAGCTGCAGGCTTAGGCACGGAGTGTGCCCAGCCCGGGAAGGAAGGCAGGTACCTGCAACGCTGTGTATTACACAAGAAACACTCATAATTTCAGCAAATACGCATCGCTTTACTTTAAAAACAACAAGTGGCCACGATCATCACTACTTACCACTGATTTTACATCAAGCTGTAGCGCGCCACACGCTGCTACATTAGCGTTAATGCGTACAGCGCAATTACATTGAAAATATGGTGTGTGTAACTTTCTGTCACACAAGGAACAAACAAATAAGATTATATTGCCATTGCGATAGTTTTTCAATACTCTGGCCGATTGATTACAGGGACTGCTGTCACCAGTACATGGTTAATACTCTGTCCAACCCACACATCCAACCAGGCACAATGAAGTCGCGCGAGAGCTCGTCATCAGTGCACGTATCTCTCATAGAGCAGGCTCTGTTACAATAATCGAGTGCAACATAACACGACATTACAGAGGGCCACTTTCCCAGGCACCGGTCCGGCCACAATCAGTGCAGTCCGGTGAACCAGCCGAGCCGTCCGGTTCAGGTGGCATTTCCTCGATTATCATGCGTTTAGTTTTTGCACGCAACAATTACATCGCATCTGTATGCACGAGGCAGACGCGCGAATAATCCGGCCGCGCCCCTCCCCCTCCGCCTCCCCCGGGCCGGCCCGCGGCCGCCTCGCATTGTCAGCTCAGCAGGACATGTCGGCTCGGTCTTCAGGATTGACGCGCTCTTCATTTGAGCATTAATGACAAACGGTATGAGGTCTGATGAAGTCAACACTCGCTCATTTCATGGTTATGTTACGGTACAAAAACTAGCGAAGCAGGATAGTTGGGGTATAGCTTTCGAAATGGATTAAGCTGGTGATGTACCATGCTTACAGATTCAGAACACATTATCCAGGAAGTGTGTTCACGATTAAGAACGTTTAGAAATGGTTAAAGACTTCGGTAATTACTTGATGTGACTAAGAAGGCTGTTTCTTCAAAACGAAGCTGTAGCTGATACAAAGTACAAGTTTTATCTACAGCATACGAACATATAGTACATTAGATTATAAGTATAACATTACAATTGCAGAAATTGATTTCTGAAAAATCTAATGTCGCAACTGACGCCGTACGTATCTCTAAAGACTAAAGTGGTTGTACTACTGCACATCCCGCGTGCGCGTGTTGGAAGTGTTTTTGCAGGAGGGCGGCGCGCGGCGCGCACGCAGCGTGGGACCTGCGGCTGCCCAATATCTTTTCATATTTCTGCGTACCCACGACACATTGACAATTCGTAGAGCGGGGTCACGTTTAGACAACAATGCAAGTTTACATACTAATTGAGGCTGAACTGAATCTTTACTGACGAGTTCTACTCCAGGACTACTTAATGAGGTTTATCTTATCAATCATGAAATATAAATGAGCTACGATATACTCAAAGTTTTGTGCTCCTTCCACTCATTAATATGCATATATGCAGTCAGATTACTTGCATACAATCAATATTTTATTTATTCTAGCCGAGTAAAAACTAGTTAGGAACATTCGGGTGGAGGCATGTCGTCCGAGGTCCGGCGGCCGACAAAAAGTGACGCATTCAAACGATGTGCCCTTGTTGGGAGCGACGTACAACTTGCAGTCCATTCAGTGAGAGTGTGGCAGCCAGCCGGCAGCTTCATGCGCCTTACAGCCTGCGCCGTCGCATGCATTACGCTAGCAGTGGGTGTGCGCAGTACGCGCACTCGTCATGCCTGTAACGTGTCAATTATCATGTCACACAAAACTACGACAGCTGTCTCCGAGCTGGTTTCCGTTTTCCAAAATTTCTTATTAAGTCTGAGTAGTGCCCAGTCTATGACAGTGGCTCCACTGCTAACTCTACTGTCTGCAACTGTAAACGCCACACTAGTAATTAATGGTTAATGTAAAGCGGAGTGGATAATTGTTACATAGTGGATCAGGGGCTTAGGAGGATGCGCGCTGTACAACCACTGGCACATTAGGGGCGAGCCAGAGACAATGGGGCGGCTAATGCAAATGAGGATTGATCTTATTTAAACAAGAGCACGTCTTCCTGCCGGCGTTGGACAGGTCGACTGGTCGACGCAAAACAGCAGGTCGTTGCGGACGCACGGGCGGAATGCGACGCGTTCAGTGCGCGGTGTGTCAAAGCGATGCGCGCGCGCAGCCGCCGCCGCCGATCATTTAAATATCATCGCTACTCATATTTGGAATGCCTTCGCTGGCCGCTCGCTTGTTCGCCTCAGGATTAAGCGACAAAAATTGCTCCATTTTTTGTTGTTGGCCACATTAACTGTAACCTTGTCGCCGGCCGCGGTCGCCGGTGTAGAGCGTGGCACGGTGCAGTCCGCGCCCAGCCATTATTACTCTACTGTTCGACATTACTATAATAACATGTAAAACATGTTTTATCAATTTACTATAATGTAAAAACCGCGATATCATCTGCATTCAGAGATATTTCTTGATTACTCAAACTATTCCTTGCTTTGTTAAAGTGTTCCGAAAACAATTTCTAATGACTGGGTCAAGCACCCATTTAATTCATGTGCGGCGGTAGGTGAATTGTATTTTAGTCAATCTTTCGAGTCATTCCATTCGTTCAATAATAATACAAATAGATAGAATATATGTATAGAAGGACTTATTTGGTACAGCAAAAAACACAAAACACTATAATTGAGGACAAGATATCATTTCATCATCATCATCATTAGCCTATAAGTGCCCACTGTTGAGCAAAGGCCTCTTCTCATACGGAGAAGGTTAGAGCATTAATCACCACGCTTGCTCAATGCGGGTTGGCGATTTCAAACTTATAATTAGGAATTATAAGTCCAGGTTTCCTCACGATGTTTACCTTCACCGTATGTCAGTGGTGTCTAAATAATCATAGAAAGTACATATAACTCGGAAAAAGTCATATTGGTACTTGCCAGGTTTCGAACCCACACCCTCATGCATGAGAAGCGGGCTCCTTAACCTCCGGGCCACCACGACCCTCAAACAAGATATAAAAATTCTTAATAAAATTAAAACATCATGAATGACAGTAGAAAAAAAGTAATAATAGAAAACAAAAAATATATATATATTAATAATGAAGGTAGGCAACACCACATGTATGGTGTGTGCCATACTTTGAGAAGTAAAGTGTGGGTCCAGTACACACCGAGTGCTCAGCATGTGTCAGGATGTTATACATCTGACGCTGATACTCTGCTGGATCCTTGCTGTGGCATTCGTGATATAGTAATGTCTGACCAATGTGTAACATGTCGTAAGTACGTTTGTACGTACATCATACAGATTGTACACTGGTTCGCATTAGATGATGACACAGACACTCGGGGAGCAGCGCTGCGCTCTCAGATGGTCGTATACCACAGTACCGAATGAAATGAAATACTACAGGAAGTACAGGGTCGTGAAAACAGCAAACTCAGCTACCCAGCTAGCTCAGGCAGGGCCCCTGCGCCGCGACCCGATGTTTGCGTAACTCGAGCTCACCACTTTCATCATCAATCACGACAGGCCCCGCCGACCTCGGCCTGCACTCGGTGACGTCATCAAGTATACGCACACGTCGCCAGCCATTAGAATATGTATACAGTTTATATTGAAATTCAAAATATATAAATGTAAGTTTGTTGATTGTTATAAGTCAGAAAGGCGTCCGGAATTGTATTAACACAAGGAATGTACCCAAATAGTATAGCATCTATCATAATCTTACAAACACATCTATGTGATTAAACTAGAACGCTGGGCGCGGGCGGCGCGGGCGCAGCCTCAAGCGGCGGCAGCGCGCGGATCCATTAAGCTTAATTTGTAACAATTATCACCGGAGCACAAACACAATACTTGAGTTTGATAACACCTTCATTAATAGACGTGCCCCTGCGGCCATCTTGTTCTGCCACAGCAAAACGAACTCAATGCCGTGTGCCACAGAAGTGTTATTGCTTGGTCGTTGCGTTCACTCAGGTGGCATTATTATAAACGCATTAGGAAGATGGCTCCCAGTGGTATCACTGTACCGTATGGTTTGTGTGCTCCACGAATGGCGAGAGACTGTGCTACGGAAGTGTACTGAAGTTATCACAACACATTGAACAGTGATAGTCCGCTAGCAGACCAAGATTACAGTAATCTGGTGGTTTGCATTATTTTAAATAATTCACAGTATAATACCGGCGGCCTTGGGCAAGCTAATCGCCGCGCCGGTTGCTCGGCTGGATAGGTCAGCTAATTGGCCCTGGAGTGGTCTGTGTCGACCCGAATTATAGTGATTTGAATACACTGCGTGATTAATGAGCAGCTCCTCGTTCCTCGCGAGGTTTACCTTGATAGTATCCAGTTGCTCGTATTTTCATAAATTGCTCCCAAATAACAATCCGTCTGAATGATTTAAATGACGCCGACTAATGCATAGAAAGCTGCGCTCAGTTGAGTCCGGTACAAGTCTATGTAATAAATCGTGACAATATAACATAATAAATCGAGTAGGAAACGTTTCAATATTTTCCCAAGAGGTGCACGTGACAAATGGTAGCTGACCGGTTCATACATGTGCATAGGCTGGCTGCAGGCTCGCGGCAAAAACGCGGCGTCAGCCGAGGCGCGGGCGCAGGCCCAGCGCGCGCGGTAATGGTGGCGGTTCCCAGCCACCGCCGCGCTTCCTTGAACCACCGCGTCCGCACCCGGGCCTCGAGCCTCGTCAATGACATGCCTGGACATTGATTCAGTGGCGCCATCTCATCGGCTCCACATATAACTACATTGCTACGAGTTTTTGTAGTAGTCTACGGAAGATATACTGAATAATGTTAGGTACATGTAGCATATTAAGACTAAGCAGCTGGAAGACTCGGTAGGTAGGTGTGCTGAACTATCCCATGAAGATGTTAAGTATATGAATATGTATGCAAACCAATGTGCCTGTGTGTGTATAGACGTGGTCTTCAGCCCCTCGGTCCTCGGAGTGGATACGCTCAGACGTCACATAATGATTAAAGTGGACGCTAAGAGTCCGCCATTAATATTAATAGAAGCTTAGATAATTATATTCTCCGTGTGTCGCGGCTTGCGACGTTTTTGCTGCGGAACAAACGATCTCATTCCTAGTGGCGGCCACATTCTCCGTGTTGCGCACACTTGCTAACTAATGAATTACATTTTTTCCTCGTCTGTCAATCATATCTGTTAACGGGTACTGGGAAACGGGTGGCGCCGGCGCAGGATCACACGCACCACATGCCCCACCACTCACCACAGCTACAACAACGCACACACACACGAGTCATGTAACTAGGTACATAGTTGAGATAGCAGTGATACTGTACATAAGACACATATACATATATAGGGATGCAGGGCGCTTCCAGCCGACTGATCGGGAGTCACTGAGTGAGGCCTCGGTGAGGCAGTCACTGGGCCGATTGATGTCCTCTATGTCTTTTGCTATATGTGAAGGCGTGTAATAAGACTAGGTAAATATTCTACGACTGCTGGTTCGCGGGTGACTCGCAGATTGCACAGATTGTCCGTCACTCGCGCACTAGTTCGAGCCTCTATGATAGCAAGTGAAACGATATTTTCCATCTGCGTTTTTGCCGTGATGCTGATGTTATCTGCAGTCGTCAATTACCTACAGAGTTAACAGAGTTTTTACTGAGCAAGCGACCGAACCGGCAAATATGTCGAGCCGTCGTTCCACCGCGCACCGCCCCGGGATCTAGAGCTCTATAACTCGTACTGGTTTGGTGATTAATTCAATACAGTCAGTAGTCCTATCTAACTAGTTTTCTAATATTTCCTGTAACTAATCGAAGTAATATTTAACCGCAGTTAATCGCGGTACCTGTACTTTCTGAAAATATTTCGGCTTCGAATGAATGCAGGGAGTGTAACTGGGTTCGTTAACAGATTCCGTGTGGGATACGCCGCGGTGGCCGGGATATGGATCCCGAGCCTTCAGGCTATATATCTATCTAAAAATAGGATATATAAAAATACGAGAAGTCCAGAGCTGTGCGAGTAATAAAATAAATTAATCAAACAAAAAGTATGTACATATTTGCCAATTAATAGTTACATGCATCAGGTGGGTGCAGGAGCTGCCTGGCCATTATGTATATCAGTCAATTAATCAACTTATAATACATTAGTAAAGTCCCTCGTGTTTTAATTATTTATTTATTTCGCGACAGGTGAGAAATGGGCGCAGTGTACCCGTGTTACGTAACACGAGTTAACTAATTACTGCGACCGTGTTGCATGCTGCTGCGTGTACACTGCGAGCGCCCCGCGGCCTCGCCTCCTTGCTTCAGCTACGACGAAGATGGCACTACATAATACAAAATAATTATGAAATGCGAACCAAGTGGCTCGTACAAGGTGAAAACATCGGCTAAACACGAGGCAAACTCACTCACCAAATGTACCGCGAACTTGTTGCCTTACACATAAAAAGAAATTATATAACGAAAACTTTTCTTAACGTTTCAAAGCTATAAATACCAGTTGGGCACTCACACTGTGTGTGTGTTTGTCCAATTTAAATGTTGTTTAATTGTAGGTGTTTTTATATAACGGTAGTGATGCATATTTAGCTTTTACAGTTTTTAAAAATAATTGCTTTCCTAATAAATAAATGAAACAAAAATAAATGTTACTGACGGCACAATCCTTCCAAAGCAAACTTATATATACATACATAGGTATATAATAATGTATTTACTTCAATATTGTTCTAAATTTTTGATGAATTTAAATTTGTTTCAATATTAATTTTATTCCGTAATAAATATATGTTTCGGTACATTTCTTCGTGTAAACTAAACTACTAGTTTTTATTGCAAAGTGTTAGTAGATATAGTCCCCTCAATAACTAACTTAATTAGATAAAAAAACCACTCTTAAGCTAGGGTAAATCGGTATATGAGTAAAAAGTAAAACATACATTACATAAGGTGGCTGCAACGCATCTAAGCTGTGTCTGTTATATTATTGAAGATCCTTCTACCTATTGTACCTTCACATGCTAATGAAGAATTTGAAAAATAAAACTGTAGTGGTATACATTACAGTTGTGTATGTTCTAGAGCTAAGCCCAGCTCCCAATGCAGCATCTTCCAGGTGGTCAGTCACCTGACTGCGATCCTTGAGCTATTTTTCATTTCAACTGCAAGCCTAAGTTTGTCACAGCTTCAAGGGATCGTAAACCTCGGTCGACGTACTGTGCTTTAAATTTCAAGTCGCTACAAGCAGACGGACAAAAACTGGCGAAGGGCGGGCCGTGCTGCAGCCGTGGTATTATGCATATGCATACACATATATGTACATCAATATGAATGCGCCACGATCCACGATACGTATCACGCCACTCGGCGCAACGTGAATGTCAAACATTTGCAGTGACATTCTGCTAATTACTAATTACTGCACTGCGCGGACGTGATACTTCATCGTAGCTCGACATACACTACGCGTCAACAAGGGAGGAATTCTGCACGGCCTGGTAGTGGACAGTCGATGTATGGTGAGCCGGCGAGGCGGTGGCGGTGGCGCGGTGGGTGCGTGTGTGCTGAAGCGGTATGTGGCGGTATGGTCTCACGGTGTTTCCCACGGCACAGATGCCCTTAAACGTCGACTGCGTGCGCCCGCGCATGCGCGCCACTGCCTGCCAATGCGCTGTGCGTACAGATCACTGCAATGTGCGTTATATCGAGCGATGCATGTTGCTTTGCCGATGTGTGACATGAGTCTCGTGCACGGGTTGCGGGCGCAGACGAGCGTGGCGGTCTACCTGTGCAGCATGGACTGCAGGGACCTGGAGAAAGTGTTAGAGCTTAGTAAAGTATGACCACTGCACAGTAATATAATCTGGATACTCCCTCTGCGGGTAGCGGGACGTGCAGGCGAGGCCACGGTTACAGAGATTAATTCAGAATAATGAATATGACGAGGAGCTCAGTCCCGGAGTATGTACGAGCACAATAATTTCCATACGGGTGTGTCTGTGTGCGCATGTCGTCACTGTGGTCATTACGCGAGCACTCAAACGCAATGTTTATGCAAACCCGGCCTGCGCTGTGTCATACGCTGCACACGCTGCACACGCTGCATACTTGCGCGTCTCCAGCGGGCGCCCGCATCGCAATTAGCTAATAATCATACTGCATTATGTATGTATGCATTGTTTGTATTTAAACGTCGCTGAGCCATGAGTGGACACTCACTCGTTACTTGCAACTAGCTTTTTATTGCTATCTTTAATTTTCTCTTCGATCGTGAATACATTTACACACGCGAATACCACATACACATCACCCAGACACAGCGCACATTTTTGCAATAATAGTCTATTTATAAGTACTTACAATGGTTTTGAATCCGGGACCACGTACGACTAGCACACGCATTACGAGCTACAATTGTACTAACTTTAAGTCATTTACTTGGTTTAGTTTCAACATACAAAACATTCATTTGAAAATTTAAAAAAAATATGGATTCCTAACTATACAATACAAAGAATGATTAACATGAATTAGCAAATGAGAACCCAATGACTATCTAGCATTCGTGTACACGTACTGGCCGATCCGTGGAACTCGTTCACTGCCGACATTTTACTTGGGGCCATTTTATAATCTATTTAAATATAGAACATTATATGTGTAAACTATGTGCCACATACGTTTATCTGGAACGTATTCGCAGGTGAGGCAGCAGGCGAAGCAGTAATGACTTCTGCTGGAGCTACATGTTATTTGTCTTTTGCTTAGGGTTCTGACATTTCTTTAACTTCATTCGTCGTTACTGCTATATATGTATATTCTAATCTGCAGAAGCAAGCAGAAGAAGAAGAAATAAATAGATGTACATTCAAAATGTAAAGCATATTGATGTGACAGTACGTGCTTACATATAACTCTTTTGGACATACATTTTAAGAAAGACAATGTAGCATGTACTGCTAATGGTATTAAATGTGCATCCAATGCAAATCCTCAAGTTTCACACTGTACGGCACTAACAACACATAATTAGATTGTCTGAGTGTCTGACGTCACGGTCCGAAGATATTGATAAACACGCGCACGCTACACTCACAATACTCGACATACACTGTCTGTGTGTAGACGTACACAATATCGACAGACATACACACAGACCGCCCTCCGTACTACAGGTACACATAGCATGCAACACAAATATTGCGTGTGTCTCTCAAGGAACTTCAGCTGTAATGTCCCAAATTTCAAGTTTTATGGAATGAGAAGTTAGTGACATGGAAAGCAGCCAGTAATGGAAATAATGTGTTGGAGTAGGTGTAGGTGTGTGAGTGCAGGGCGGGCGGCGCTGGCGGGCGGGCGGCGGCGCTGCAGCGCCACCTGCCGTAATATCCTATTTATGAATAATGTTTTATTCTAACAGCGTGCGACCCCCCACACACCCGCCAGGGCTGCCGCTCACTCACTGGTACCTCCGTTGGGGACCAACCAACAAACACGCGACTCCTCCATCGTCCTACGACTGCTTTGCAATAACTAATAGCTATTGAATGGAATAACTTGGGTCCGACTGATACAGTCTCCCAAGGAGTAGATGGTGCAGACATCTTGACGACAACTCCAGCTTCATGTAACACGATCGTATACCATCTGGAATACTACAGTATCCCCGACTTAGTCAGTGACTGCCGAACGTGACGGTGCTGACTATACTCTCACTACGCATCTAGTCAGCGAGCATGCAATTAGAGAGTCATTGCAGAAGCTACATTTAAGGAAATGTTGTCGTGTACCGAGTAGTGTTACAACTGTCTGAACATTGAACAAGTTGCTGCGGGAGCAGTGAGTGCGGATAACTTCAGCCATTAGTGAATAGTTGTGAACTTGTAAAATAACCAATAATATGTAATTGTTCGGAAACAATGTGTTGCTTTTAAGCAATTATCATAAATCGACATTGTTGTGCGACAGTGTGTGTCAGCCCTGTGCTCGTTATTGCTTGCTTTGTTTTTGCGAGGCGGGCGGGAGCCGAGCCGGGGCGCGGGGTGGCGGGCCCCGGGCCCCAGGTCGCGGGGTCCCGCCGGCTTTAATTAATGGAATAACTCTGCCGAGTTCGGCCGCGCACTACCCTCCCCCCCCATCTCGCTGCACAAAGCTAGCAAATCTTTAAAATATCGCCCCACTATGTATTTGGCTGATGTATGGCCGCTCCACTACACCATGTTCCCACGTCAGCTGACGGCTTAGCGATCTGTTACTGCTGGACACAATGCATGTCCTCGCCCTTACATTGAATGAAAACTTTAATCTTTTGTTGAAAGTCAGTGCAAGAATACATCTCCTGGCAGTACCCCGGCAGATCAGCTTCCAGTGCATATTTATGGCATTAACTGATTAATGGAACTTCCGCATACATTAGCATGCATATGTTATGTACAGCAGGACACGAATAACAAAATGAAAATTCCAGTAATTGAAGTGAGGTCGGAAGCAGTGCCCTGGGCAGCGGGAGGGCCCCCTCCCCTCCCCTCCCATATATATCACGTAAAATAGTCGCAACTCCTTTCACGACCCGTATTCGCTCCGCACCTTACATTATTATGATTTAGTAGAGCACAGTTGCAACGCTGCAGATGCCCCCCGCGGGGCCCCGGGCGCAGACCCCACCCCCGGGGGTGGCGAGAAGTCAGCGATGGTAGTAATAAAGCCGGCCATATTTCACACTTAGCGCGTAATGAGCGCGCGCCCAAATAATTGGATCACGTACATAACTCATTATTACCTCGCGCCTCACTTCGGCGTGCGAATGTATCATTACTTGACCCCCCCCCTCCCCCTCCACCTCCACCCACCCTGAGCTGGCGACTTCTGAGCACGCAAACACAATACAAGTTAGTTAGCCCTGCACTACGTACAGGTGGATGCTGGCAGCTCGCACTGCCGCGACACTCGCCGCGCCCCGCTGGTGCCCTCGCTAGCGATTGCGGAACTAAACAAAATGCTCTTGCAGCGCAACTATTCCGAGTTCCACATTAGCGCATATTGTCCGTAAGAGCACGAGCCCCAAAAGAGCAACAAAGTGGCAACGGCCGATGAACATGAAATATATGTAAGCATTATTCAAGCACGCATAGGTACCCGAGGCAGTTAATCATAGTTTTTGCAGGAACACTCGGCATCGGTATAATTAATATGTAGATGACTTTCTTTAAGTAATGGCGAGCGCTTAATCCGGGCCCGTCAGCGGCGCACGATACTTCGCGCTGGCTGGCGTCCGTCAAGCGCTCGGCGCTGGGCATGTACGCTGCGCGCGCGCACGCAACGCGCCCGCTGGCCGTGCGGTGTTATTCAACTTTAACATTTACCACGCAGCCGTTAGCATATTCATGGCGAGCGAGTATAATTTCACCCTTTCTTTGTAATGAATATGGAAATGGAAGAAAGTTCTCGCGACTTAAAAACTAGTTGCTACTGTAATTGGCGGTGGTTTGATGGTTTTTGTGGCGCAGCCCGCGCCGCGCTCGTCTAGCGAGCCGGCCTAGTGATGGCCGCGATACCATCGTACAGCCTCGACATGTTTTACAATCGACTTACACGTTATTGCTGTTAGGACAACTAATATTCATATAGTCGGACCCTATCTCAAGGTCAGATCGATAATATCACTGATTTTGGTGTGAGATATTAGATTATTTTCTATTAGTGAAACATACAAATGCCGATGTTTGCAGATAATTTATAACCTGAATTGTTTGTATCTAAATGTAGTCGTTATCTTCTTATTTTTGTTTAATAATAGGTATCAACATGATTGGATTTGTTAGATTTACAATATATACTAAATGTCAACTGTTTACGCGCTGGCAAAAACGGCACATTTTTATCGATAGATTGGTATCGAGTCGGTGCGCGGCGTCACAGCACTCGGGGTCGCGGCCGGGTAGCCGCACGCACGCTAGCTGCTTTTTTCTAAGCCGTTGTGTTTGTTTGTGATATTTAATGTGTGGAGAACTGGAGAGTCGGGACCCTGCCAGCCCGGCGCGACAGGATACAATTTACCTCATATCGTCGACTATTATCTAATTAAGCGTCAATTCGACGCATAATTGAGGGTGATCACGAGGCGGCGGCGCGCGGCGTCTCGACGCTATGCTCTCAATTATTATAACGTTTTAATTTATTTATTGGTTCAATTTGTCTCAACCAAGTGTGTGAGATACCTCCTCAATACACATACATGTAATGCCTGTATACGCGGCAGCCTATCCATGAATGAATGGAATTGAAATTAAATTTACTATCTGCGATTAAATAGATTAAGTAGTTGAATTGGGCGTCTCTACCAGCACCGCCGCAAACCACAAGCTCTCTCTCTCTGACGGGTACAAGACATGTGCTGAAGGGCGCCACCTTCAGAGTCGCTGGAGTATCAGGACGGGATATCTCTCGTCCTCAATGCTCGTAACGTAACGAGTTGAAACCCAAATTGTAAGAGACGTGAACCTTTGGGAAACTTCGGAGTAGTAAGTGATAAGGAGACGATAACATTGGGCTCATTATCTTTAATTCGCTGAGTGATAATGTCGGGGCGCGGATAATGTAGTGCCGCGCCACCGCTCGGCCGCAGTGTAAGCGCCGCGCGCTGCCCGTTTGCCCGCTGGTAGCTCGTGGACTATCGTGGAGTGGATGTGCTGGCTACCCGCCTGTGGGGATGACGCCGTACTTGCACGAGCACTACTGGGTGAGTGGCTGCCAGAGGCTGTCGGACAATGTAACACCATCTTAGTGCATACTGCTACGGCCTGGTTACTGCGCTTCGAACACAGCCAAGTGTTGTTGTATTTTA